CGGGTCAAGAGTCCCGCCCGTGCCGGGCTTCACCTGCAATTCGCGGACCTCCAGCGCCAGGCAGCATTGCTTGCCCATGATCCAGACCTGCCGGGCCTTAGATCTTGCTGCCGTCGGTGTCCCAGAAGCGGACGTTCCGCGCGTCCAGTTTGCGTTTAGGGTTTTCTTGTCCCTTGTGTTTAGGGCATGGTGTGAATCTACCTACGCGGTGGCCATTTTGCTCCTAGCCTTGACCCAAACTTGCTGTTTCATTTGAACACGCTGTCACAGTACCTCCGAGCTATCCGCCTTTTTCTGACCTTTGTGAATCAGTGTGTGGGGAACTTGCTTCGCCTTACCTTAGCCCACCTGTCCGATTTCATTGTATGCGAAGGACTTGATTAAGGGGCTGCCCATCAAGTTAGGTAGGCTTGGTATCTGTCCAATGCGCGCAAACCAGGACAGGGCTTTACTCATCATGATTGCGCTGCATTTGAACGCAGTCTGGTCCTCTGCTTGTGACACATGGCAACCTACCCCAAACCTCATGACCGACGCGAAGCCTTGCCTTTGCCATTGGCCGTACTTGCAGCATGGGAAGAGCACATAGTTTCGCCCTACTAGGTGCCCTGCTCTTGTGCGCGCATTGTAGCCTTAGGTTTGGGGACACTCAGAGAATCAAGCCGTCCGCTCTGTCGCTGTCCGCACAAGCACTTCGTGGCCTGTGTTGGGCTACCAAGACAACCAGTCAGGGACAGCCTTTCGCATGCCTGCCCTTCGGTTTCCGAGGTGAAAACATCAGCACGTCCTGGCTGGTGAAGTGGCTTGCCCTGCTCAGCCAAGCATTAGACGCCACTCAGGCCGAATGGGGAGATTCCTTCGTGCCCGACTTCATTCTGCCTAACACATGCAGAAGGCGGTCAGCTGGTGACCCGAGGCTTCCTCGTTCACCCTTCACAGCCTTAAACGCGCGCTACTCAGTGCGGCTGCGCAGCTACGCCTTCCCGAAGACAGCAGCCATCGCCTTTCGTCCGCACTGCTATGCAGCAGGGACGACACCATAGAAGCCTTGTGGGTGCAATCTGAGCTTGCCTTGGCCATCAGACGTGGCTGGTCCAGAGCCTCCCGACAAGCCTTACAAGATTCCGGTAAGACAGGGAGGGCAATTTGCTGTCCGCAGTGGAGAGGGCCGCCCTGGAATCTTCGGAAGCTGCCAGACGAGCAACCCCACCCACCAGAGCCTTCGCATTGCCAGCTGGCTCCAACTCTTGCAGTCGACTCAATCGGTATTCGTCTTGTGCCCTGGGGATCGGTACATGCCGTGCTTAGCACCCACGGCAACTCAGTACAAACGGCGTGCGGCTTGTACTTTAAGGAGTGCTCGTACCCCGTGCGCCAAATTCATCCGGACATGCAGCTCTGCAAACGCAAAGCCTGCATGGCCTTGAATCACCTAAACTCTGTGTGAGTGGACACCTCAGGTACGCGCCGGGAGGCGCGTCAGCTGCTCAACAGTGCTCGTGCGTGCCAGTTGCATTGACTATACACACTCCGCAGCTGTCTCCGACCAAACCAAACCACGCCTTCAAAACATGCCTTACTGAGGCACATGCCGCGATAGGCTCCAGGATGTCCTGATACAAGCCCGGGTCCCGGAAGGTTTGCGCAAAAATGGCTTACACGGCTTTGCAATTGCCCTGCCCTCAAGACATGAGCCCTGAGGCAGGACAGCCGTACAGACTCCATCTGCTGCAGGCTTTGGCTAGCTCTTGGGGTGACCCAGACATGGCCCTGCTGCCTTTTTTGCACCGAATACCGACGGGAGCCCGTCTCAGCCTTGGCGCCCAGTCTACAATGGCCGGCCAAAAAGCCGGAAACCGCCGTGCCGCCAGATCTGGAGATCTGTGAAGGCAACTGGAAGATGGCTGAGGATGAATCAGAGACAGTGCAAAGCCTGCTGCGCAATGAAATTGCCAACAACTGGATTGTAGAAACCGGCCTTAGCATTGCCGAAGCCCGTGAAAAATGGCCTTTAGGAATAGCCGTAGGCAAATTAAATGTAGTTCTTGCAGAAGGGAAAGAGCCCCGCCTTGTCCTGGACAGCACCGTGTGCCAAGTGAACACAAGATGCCATCTGCCAGAGCGCCTCAGCCTGCCAATGGAGGACACCCCAGGAGCCTTTGTGGGTGCAAGCATTGATTTCAAAGCCGCGCACAAACAGGCGCACGTCCGCCCTGAAGAGCATGGCCTTCTGCTGTTCGCCTTTCAGGGGAAACTCTACCATTATAGAGTTTGCCATTTTGGAGGCCGTTTCTCGGCATTCTGGTGGCAGCGCACTGGAGCATTTCTACTTCGCCAAGCGCACGGGATATTGGCTTGGAAGCCTCACAAAGCCTTCCTCTTCGTAGACGACCTTCTGTGCGCACTCGTCCGAGACAGCGCTCCAGAAATGTTCGCGCCATTGCTGCGCCACTTTCGTGGAAAAAGGCGCAATTCCAGGACAGCCTTATTTGGTGTGGCTGGGAGATCAACTTCTCCCACGACACCATTCAGCTCGTGTCAGCTAAACTGACAAAGCTGGACGCCTTGATCAAAGCACTGCTAGGGAGCAAACGGGTACTCCGAAAAACACTCGAGCAGTGCATAGGCCTGCTCATTTGGGCCACCAGCATTGCGCTGCATCTGAGATCTTGGCTAGCGCCGCTATACTCTGATCTCAACAGCCCGCCAGGCTCAATGCACTCAATACCACCTCAAATGTGGTCAGCCTTCAGAGCATCCTTGAACAAGGATCTCAAAACAAGCCATGTGGATCGCAGTGGGCTCAAAAAATCTCGGGTCGCGCCACACACTGCCCAGCAAACCCACGTGGGTACGTATCACAGATCCCAATAACCCCTATACTAGCCTCTCCAAGTCAAGCCAGCAATGCCTTACATGGCTGGCTTCGTGCTTCCAGCATTCGCCAGTTCAGCCCTTGGCACGGCCACGCCCGCTGCAAGCCCTGGCAGCTGCGGATGCGTGTGCCGAAGACGACTTGGTAGGAATAGGGGGCTGGGCAATCACTTTTCACAAGTGGTTTGGTTTGCCGAAACCTGGAACATGCAGGACATACGGGCAGTATGGCCTTGCCTTGTCAAGCCTGGACAGCGGTACATCGCATGCTTCGAGACACTGGCGCAGTTGGCACTGCTGCAAGCTACCCACAGCCATATTGGTGGCAACGGAAGCAAGCCTTAATAAAATGTTCACGACCTCCTGGCCGTTGCAACTCTTCGTGCAGTTAACAGCCTTTTGGGCTCACGCGCACAACGTACTGCTGCAGCCAACACACGTTCCGGGAAGGAGCAATGATTGGGCAGATGACCTCAGCAGTCGGTTGGCCAGATTCAGCCATCGCCCTGAGAGTCGCGTGCGCTTCAGCCCTGCGGGCCTTGCGCTGTCAGGCAGAGGCATTCAGCTGTGTCCAATAGATGCGCCCTGGCGCCCAGAACATCTGGCATCTGCCTCCAGCAGTGCGTAGCCGAGCCCCATTGCATCCCAACATGCATCGCGACCCGACAGCCAACCTCGCCCTGGCAACCAGAATACCTGGCTGCGTCAGCCAGCAGCTTGACATCAAGCCGCTTTGACTCAAAAAGAGCGGACCCTGAGCAACAGGATGCTCGCAACCAAGCGCATGCAATGTCATGCTGACATTTACCCTGCCAGGTGCAACCCCACTCTAAAGGGGGGGTGAGGAGGCCGGCGGCCCAGCTGGCTCGCTTATACCGGGGTTGCCTGAAACACTGAAGGGGGGGGTCAACGCACCTCCTGCTCCAGGCGCACCCGTGCCCTGGAAGCAGTGCTACTTTCAGCAATCCCGGTAAAAAGAACTGCGGCCGCCTCGGACTTGCATTGTTCTTTTGGGTGGTCTTGTTTGGGTTCAAGCTAGGAGCAACATGCCTTAACGTTTAGGGTTTTCTTTTCCCTTGTGTTTAGGGCATGTTGTGAATCTACCTACGCGGTGGCCATTTTGCTCCTAGCCTTGACCCAAACTTGCTGTTTCATTTGAAACCCACCTACCCACCCTGCACTGCCTTGTGCAAGGCTCTGCAAATGAGAAGTCGCAGACGCTCTGCACTTCCGTTCATGGTCTCCGGACCACTTGGTCTCCGGACCGCTCACGGTCTCCGGACCACCAGGGCTCCAAACAGCTCGTGGTTTCCGGACTACGTGATCTCCGGATCATGCAGGTTTGGGCAGAGCCGCAGCTTGCCCTTTCCTGACCACAGACCCCGGTCTGTTGGTCAGGCGTGGGCACGCATGCCACGCCATGCACGCACTGCATGCATTTGCAAGGACACGCATTGTTTTGCCTTATAGTTTCACGGGGGGTCAACGCACCTCCTGCTCCAGGCGCACCCGTGCCCTGGAAGCAGTGCTACTTTCAGCAATCCCGGTAAAAAGAACTGCGGCCGCCTCGGACTTGCATTGTTCTTTTGGAGCAGTGCAACATGCCTTAACACTTCAGGAAGGTCGCTCCCGTCGGGACTCCTTGAGGCAGCTCTGCCACCTGTCCCTCACATCGCCGTAGTCGCCCCAAATGCGGCTCGACCGCAAAGACAGCTCGTTAACGCACCTCTTCTCGAATTCCTCCCAGGCCGCCCAGGCCTCGGAATCCCTTTCCATCGCAAGGCAGGCGTTCTGCCTGGGTCCCTGGTCCTCGCCGAAGCTGCTGGGCTCCCAGAGGACGTGAGTCCACGCGGACTGCCAGACGATGGCGCCCTTGGGGCTCGTTTGCACCTCGCCCAGGGCGACGCTAGTGGCGATGGTAGTCATCTTGACTCTTGCTTGCCGGTCCTTTTCCTATAGGGCGGACAACAAAATGGTCCGACCAAAGCGACGACGGCCCTGGCTCAAGCGGCTCGAGAGCCGCCATTTCCGGAAAAAAACACGTTTTTGTCTGCTTTTCCGTAAATTCAGTTTTGCATGGTTTTTGAGCGTGATTTTGCATGACAGGTTGCCGGTGTTGCGTTTTTCTCACGATTTTCACGTTGTCGGTCGTGTTTGGAAAGAGCTTCCCCAAGCACGTGAGCGTTGTGAAGGCGAGATTCGGGGACACTCTGGGGTCCGGGGTGGCAGGGAACCGCTCGCGGGTGCAAAGGCGTGGTTTCAGAGTCACAGTTTTTCTTGACCTCACGTGCCCTGTGCCCAGACTTCGACGTGCTGATCTTCTCGCAGCGCCGCGCTTTGGAGTTGCCTTTTTGTCACTTTTTGTTGGCCGCTTGCAGGTGGATCCAATTCGTGCTACTGGGGACTCTTTGGCTGGGCACCTGTGCGGATTGGTGTCAACTCGGCCTTTGAGCAGTGTTTCAGGTTTGGTCCTGGATTTTAAAGGTCGTGTTTTCGCGCTTCCCCGTGCCAGGCTTTGTTTTGACATCGAGGCATACTGCCCGGGCCTTCGCTGCTTCCGTTGTCATGGCTCTTAATGCCAACTGATCTTTGAGGTTTGGGTCCCAACTCGCCAATCTGTCAGGCCCCCTGATCTTTGGCCCAGCGAGGCCCGGACACCCCCGCCCGTCCCGTGCCAGGATTTCCGCGACTCGAAGACGTTCTGCTTGGGCCTTGTTGCTGATTGCGCCGTCAGTGTTGATGCGCGGATTTCAACTGAGCTTTCAGGGTTGGGCCCAACCTTGATCTCTTTGACCCGGTGAAGCCCGAGTGGTTTGCGTTGCTTTTTGTGTGCTTTTCCCAACCCCGTCAAGCCGCGCCGTCAGGCCCGTGTATCTTTGGAAATCGTGACCGTTTTTTTTTTCCTGGCGCTCAGGCACTCCGAACTTTTGAGCTTGCGCCTCGAGCTCCACGTTCCGCCCGGGCCCTCGCCGCGTTCCGTTGTCATGGCCAAGAGGTCCCGTACAGGTTATTGTCATTTGATCTTTGTCATCTGTCAGCCCCCTTGATCTTTGACCCAGTGAGGCCCTGACGGTCCCCGGGTCCCTGGGCACGCGTGCGTCGCCAGGGTCCCAAAGTGCATCCATCCTTGTCAACACACGTTTTCAGGGATTTTAGGGACCCCAGAAACCTTACGGACCCTAGGGACCTTAGGGACCCTGGGGACCTTAGGGACCCCAGGGACCTTAAGGACCCCAGGACCTTAGGGACCCCAGGGACCCTGGGTCTTGGGGGCAAGCGATCCTGTGAAGTGTGAAGTCATCTCTCAAGCTTCGGTTGGTTGCAGCTTGCCACGCAAGGGGACACAAAGACGCGCGGAAGGGCAACGCTTCTGTTGTTTTTCCATTCGAGCAACTTTCCATACATCTATTTATCTTTGTGTACTCATATCTATTTATTTTCATACATTTATATCTTCATACCTCTACGTATTTGTATCTCTTTATTAATTTTCATATATGTATATCTTTGTATTTCTACAAGTTCATATCTCTATACCTTTGTATCTTTATACCTTTCTCTTTATATCTTTATATCTTTATGTCTTTGTGCCTTTATGTTGGTATGTCTCTACATGGTGTTTTCTACATCCGTGTTTGTAGTTGGGAGATGATGTTGTGGTGTTGTGGCCCATTTGCAATGTGTGTGTGTGTGTCTTGGCTTCGGCATTTTGTTTTTTGCATGACCCTATGATGCTGGAGAATGCCCAGGCTGAGTGGTACCCGGCGTGAAGTTCTTGCCAAGATCCCTTCAAGCCCCAAAATCCTTGGGGCCAAGGATCTCTTGAAGTCCCTGGGTCGCTGGGTCCCTGAAGTCCTCGGAGTCCCTAGGGTACCTAGGGTCCCTAGGGTTTGTAGGGTTGCTAGGGTCCCTAAGGTCCCTAAGGTCCCTAAGGTCCCTAAGGTCCCCAAGGTCCCTGAACCCGCCGTGTGTTGACAGGGATGAGCGCACTCTGGGGCCTTGGCGAGACGTCTGATGCACACGTGTGCAGGGACCCCAGGGACTCTAGGGACCATAGGGACCTTAGGGACTTTAGGGACCCTAGGGACCCCAGAAACCCTAGTAACCCCCAGTGATCCCAAGGACCAAACCACCCCTCTGATTTTGGCTGCTTGTTTTGCAGGCAGGCCAGTTTGGTATCTCGCTCATTGGACTTTGATGCAGCGGCAGGATGTGGGTCAGCCAGTCTGACGGATGGACGGCGCGAAGCCTTGCAAGGCTTGGCCCGACCGACCTTCAGGCCGCGAGTGGAGCAAAAGGAGGAGCATCCCAAACCCTACATCATTGGTGTTGCCAAAGAAGCCAGTCAATCTGGTGTTTGCTCTGGAAACTTGGCTCGAGGGTACTCATCAACACTGACACAACATGCCCGATGGGTCCAGTGCCAGGGCTTGAGGAATCGCAGGCCGCTCAAGCGCTTTTCGAATAGCCATGGTGATGATGCGGACCAGGACCACAAACCGAGGCTGGCAAGCTTGTGACGCTACCGTGCCCGCGGTAGGCAGCGGCCAGGTATGTGCCTCTGCCTTCTCGGGATTGCATTGGCGCTGCTCGTGCAGCCGAGCACGGCCTGGGTCTTGGGACACATTTTTTTCGAAGGTTTTCGGGTGTCAGGAGTCCCTTGTCGGCGCCCAGGACTTTGCTCGAGGAGTGCCTGGGCTGAAGGACCATGATGTCCCTCCTTTGGATGTTCTTGGTTCGTGCTGCCGTGCGAGGACAGCATATCGGCCCAGTTCTCAGAGTTGCCCGCAGGCGCAAGCAGATTGCACTTTTGCTCTCTCACAGGTGGCAAAACGGCACCCGTTGCATGCCGGAGTCGCTCGGCGCGCCGGGGCTGCGCAAGAGGACTCCTCCGACCCGAAGCCTGTTCGCATCTTTTGCCGGTTGCCGCCAGGACAACAGTGCCGAGGCCGGGGACACGTGCATCAGGCTTGAGCGCTGGGCTTGTTGGCTGTCAGGACCGGCTCGATCTCGAGGAGGCGGCGGGCCTTCAGAGAAGCGACGTCCCAGCTTGGCCTCGCTCAGGTGATTGCAGAAGCCGAACGGGTGCTGGACGACAACGACACGGTGGAAAAGATAAAAGCTGTCTTGCGCCGCTGGAGCAGCACGTGGGTCGGGGTTTTCAAGAGCAGTGAAAGGTTTGAGCTCAGGAAAAGCGCAGAAGATATACCCAGGGAAGTGGACCCTTACAGGGAAGCGAAGCGAGTTGCAACAAAAACTGCGCGAGTTTGTGGAAGAGGCAGGACTGTTTGCTTCCTTGTGCCAAAGGGGTGACAAGCGGTCACTCTTTGTGACGCAGGCCAAAGCAGCCCTAAACGGCTTGGAAGAGGCCGTCCGTTCGTGCGCACTGCTGCTCTTCGTGTGAGTCGGGGCTTCTGTGTTGTGTGTTGCAATGGGTCCGCCAGGATTCCCGCTGTTGCTGTGTTTTCTTTTGCCTGGATTCTCAGCTCCTCTTGAGGTGACAAGCCGGCACCCTGGGCGTGGCGGAGTTGCTTTGCGCGCCAGCCCGCAGCAGGACGCTCCAATCAGCAGTTGTAAATTTGGCCGGTTGCATTCGTGCCAGGACAGCGACGCGGAGGCCGGGCTTGGTGGGTTCGGGCAGGACTGGCTCGCCAAGAGCCGCAAGGAGGTGGAGGGCTTCAGCAAAGCCCAAGTGTCGAACTGGGTCGAAGCCGTACTGCTGGATGCTGGGTTTGAAGCAGACGACATCACCGAAGTCACCCGCATTCTGCTGAAGCAGAAGGTGATCGGAGCGGCCCTGCTGCAGCTGACACTGGAAGAGCTGATGCAGGATGGCGTTCCGCGTGGCCCTGCAAAGCTTCTGGACGAGAAGATCCGGCTGTTGCAGGAGGCACGGCTGGAAAATCGTTTGCTCTTGACTTTGTTCTGAGACGTGCAGTGGGTCGTCGTGTGTGGTTTTGAAATTCCCCCGCAGCCTGGACATGCTTTTGGCCGCATTGTTGGCAGACGTGAACCGAAACAGTGTGGAGGCCCATGAATCGATGGTTGCCCTTCCTTGCCATTCGGGGAGGTCGTTCGCTTCTGCTGGCTGACATTCTTTGAGACGTGCAGTTGGTCTTTGTGTGTGTGCTTTTGATTGATGTATTTTCCCCAGCCCTACGGAAATGTTGTCTGTGGGGGGGCTGCCTTGATCACATCCACAGAACCAGGAAATCCCAACATTGCGCTTGCGCAGATTGTGTTTGCGCAGATTGCAGCGCGTCCTGTTTTCATAGGCCTCAGCTGGCTGCATTGTGCATTGTTGGCAGACTCGGTGTGGAGCCGCATGAACGGATGGTTTCCTGCTCGATTGTACGGTGTTTTGTTTCGGCTGATGTGTCACGTTTGCTCCGTGTTGTCCCTGTTTCATTGTTTCCCCTAGCTGAACATGTTTTTAGTGGAGAAGGCTGCCCTCATCGCATCCACAGAGTACGTTGACAGCATTGTTGCGGACGTGGTTGAACTCCGTGTGGAGCCCTGCAAACGGGTGGCAACTCCATTTTTGCCTTCATCCCGATATGTAATTTTTTGTTATGCGTGCTTTGATTTTTGTCCTTTCAAGCCTGCAAGAGCACGGTGCTGCTAGTTTGATTGATATGAGGATGCTCCGTCGGAACCGACATTTGAACTTACCAAGCATCCCCAGCTTAGTAAACCATCCTGATGTGCTATTTCTCCTGAATGGTTTTGTCTTGTTGTCAGCGTTTGTGCCTTTCAATTGCTTTCTATTCGAGCGCTGGTTTGCCATGTTCGATTTCTTCCAGTTCGATTTCTTCTCTTTGCCCTTCTGTCGTCCTTTTCGAGGTCACTGAGAAGGTCACAGCCGAGGACTTCGACCTTTATGCATGCGCTCGGCCCGACATCAAGGTGCAGCCTGACAAATTTGTGGATCTCGATGTCCGCGTGGAGAATTGCGTCAATGTTGTCATGAAGAACTTGCCGAAGGAAACAGAAGGAACGACTGTGAGAGTCCCTCCAGCAATGCTCTCCCGATGCATGCGTGGTGGCAAGACGACAATGCTCTACAAGGTCTTTGACAAGCTGAAAGCGACCAAAACACAACCCATCTTCATCAGCTTCAATGGGGACTCGCTCATCCACAGGCTCGATGACGAGAAGCCACTACACACAATGCTAAGGGCCATCGCTGTTGCCCTGATGAAGAACAAGCCCGCGAACAGGGAAGAGGCCGAGCGGGTGCGCTGCAGCAAGGAAGCCTTGAAGGAATATCTGGAGGACAAGAAGGACGTCGTCCTGCTCGTGGACGAGCTAAACGTCTTGCTCAAACCCAATCAAGCAGATAACTACCAAGATGTGGGGATGTTCCTGCGGGAGACGTTCCTTGACCCTGCTGGACGACACCTTGTCTTCAGCACGCACATCCCCACCAGCACTGGCCTCGACCAGGTCTTGGGCAAGGGCGCGGGGAGCTCTCGTGAGGCAGAAACCATACCCATGCCCAGGTGCGCGGACATGGAGCAGCTAAGGGCCATGCATCCAGCCTGTGATGCCTTGACACCGTTGGAGGCCGTCTACTTAGGCTACGTCCCAGCCCTGATCTTCTCGGTCAAGACGCAGGTCTTCGACATTGAAGGGCGGTTCCGGGCTCTCGCACGTCTTCCAAAATCGGAGGAGCTCCCAATCCTGGCAGAGTCTTTCCTGTCAGAGTTCTTCACTGGCAGGCGGGGTCCAGACGACTATCCAGTGCGTGCCTTCGATGCCCTCACCGAATCCCCAGCCCAGGGGCAGATCCGGTGGATTCTCGCCTACGTGGGACGGATGTGCTGCCACCTGAAATGGAAGCAGGTTGGGGAATGGATCGACGAAATCCCGCGCTGGTCGGCAAAGGTTGAAAGCGGCCAGGACTGGGAGACCGCTGTTCTGGTCGCTCTGTGCCTTCGATGCCATGAAGCCATGTACAGCAAGCCCCACGAGCTGCTGGGACTGCCAGAAAGCGCTCGGCCCGCCGCTGTATATGTGAGAAAGGTGCCGCAGGAGAATTCTACCAACCCAGAAGTCATACTGGCCTGGTGGAAGGAGCAGCTGATCGAAACATACCCCTACATAGCGGTGCTGTCGCCCAATGATGCCAAAACGGAAATGGTTGACGCCATGTGGGTTTATCAACAGGATGCAACGGCCGATTGGGTGGTGAGGGGCATGCAAGCCAAACTAGGCAGCGACTGCCCGAAGAAGGATATGCCACTTGGCATGCTGGGCTTGCTGTTCCGTGGCCAGGCACCGGACACCACCCGTGACTTGAAAAGGCAGCGGTGGAAGTATCTAACTGCGAGCGAGATTCAGAGTTTTCTAGGCAAATCTTTGACGGCTGCCTGTCCCGCTCACTGGCCCAACGTGACACGATGAGCCCAGAAAGCGTTGTCTCTTCCTTGTCTCAGGGCTTTTTGGTACAACGTATTCAGTTTCACCCGAATTCTGCGTGGCAAGGCAGATTGAAGCCAGAGATGTAGCTAATCACAGACAAAAGGTTGTCAGACCGCGTGTGTGCCTGGAGTGAGTGTCATGGGCATGCGGGAGAAGTTTTTTCCTTTTGGTACCCTTTTAGAACCAACCAGAAACGGCATCTCCAATTTTCAGACAAACTCACATCCAAGTTCTCGGGTCATTTGTTGATCATGGTGAGCAATATTTTTTCCAATTAGCATATTGGCCCCAAGTTGGTACAGTGACAATTAGCAGGCCAGATCAGGGCCTTGGGAATCGTTGATTACACTTGCAGACTCCACCAGCTGAATTGGGGCTAACATGCAGTTTTATTTTCAGGAAATGTTACACGCTAAACACCGCCTGATTCCCAGTTGTTCAGTGGCCCTTCAAAAAAAAGGCGATTCCGTTGTAAATTGGTGTACATGTTGAAAGGGAAGCAGCCATAGAAGTACCACTAGACAACTGGATATTTGTTCGCCAAGATCGCAGAACCAACAGTGTGGTCTTTTCAAAGGGCTGTGCGATTCGGTTCTGGACCCACCAAATAATACGCCATCCGTGCCCTGATAGTGCCAGAACTTGGGCGGGCCGAGCCAGCCAAAGGCGCTTTGTCCAGCTAGACGCGACCAGCAAATGGGAACATTTTGTCATAGTAGTTAGTTAGCGGTCCTTGCCGGCCCGCGTGTGTGTGTGTGTGCATTTCTTTTTTTGCTTTGAGTGGGTTGGTCTGTTAACAAACATTCGCAATCGCTGTTGCTCGTTACGAGTTTGACTTTGATCGAGCCCCTCCAATCTTTGTTTTGATCGCCCAGCGTCCAGTCTCAGGGGGGGCCCGGGGGGGTGGAAGTGTCAAGAGTCCATGTTGTTTTGCATGCACACTGGGCTCGCAGCAAGGTCGGAGAGGCAGACGCCCTCCTTGAAAACGCGCGAGCGTGCGTTTTTGCGCAGTGGCTGGGACGTAAACAGCTACGACCCTTAAGGAGAGCTCAGCTGACTAGACCTCGCGGGTGGCTGGAGACACGAGCTGAAGGAGAACAAGCGCAGCGACCAGCGCATCTTCGAGCTCGAGCGGGGGCTGGAAAAACTCGCGAGCGCTCCCGCGGACCTGCCTTGCACAGCATAAAAACTCTCTGGAAGCCATCCGCACGCACCACAGCAGGGGGGGCGCCAAAAAGCGTAATTCGCAGTTTTGCGCAAGCTCCAAAATCCCTTCTGGAGCGGTTTTGGAGACCTATGCATGAGAGAGAGGGAAGGACAGGCAGCACAGCGAGGAAAGTGAACAGCAAGAACCGTGAACAGCAAGAGCCAGCGCAGCGCGGAAATTGAATAGCAGCAAGAACAGCCAGCGCGAACTGGGTTGTGAACAGCAAGAACAGCCAGCGCAGCGAGGAAAGAGTTCTTGCCAGCGCAACGAAAGTGAACACCAAAACAGCTGAGAAAGTGAACAGGAAGAACAGCCAGTAGCGAGGAATTTGAAGAACAAGAACAGCCAGCGCAACGAGGAAAGTGCACAGCGAGAATAGCCAGCGCAGAGGAAAGTGAACAGCAAGAACAGCCAGCGCAGCGAGAAAAGTGAGAAACAGAAAAGAACAGCCAGCCGCAGCAAGAAAACTGAACAGCCAGGAAAGTGAACAGCAAGAACAGCCAGCGAGCAAAGTGAAGCAAGAACAGCCAGCGCAGCGAGGAAAGTGAACAGTCTTTTTTTTGCACGCGTTGCGTTCACACCGGTCCGCTACGAAAAGCGCAAGACACAGTATAAAAGAGTGCCGAGGATAGAACAGGCACCAAAGCAGACAAACACAGCAAACACCGAAATCCTCGACACAAGGGAGTCTTTACCTGCCCATCGATGCGTTGGCAGTCTTTGTCCAGCAAATAGCGTGTTCGGAGACAGGTGTCTCAACAGCCGAGTGTGGTGAATTATGAGAAAGCGCAACTCGGAATCGAGGTACTGGCTCGACTTGACCACGTTCTCCGTCAAGATGGCCTTGTGCAGACACATCCTGTAGCCTCTGCGCTGCCTGCTGCTTGGGGTGACCTTCGCCTTAGGTTTGTCAGTCTTTCTCCGAGAGTCCTTAGGCTTGGTAACAATCCTCTTGCGGCGTAGTGGCCGAGGCGACGATCCCTTGAAGCCTGGGGAGCAGACACTCCGTGCCTCGAGTTTCGCATTCAAGCACCAGAGCCTGCAGTTGAGCAAGGAGGCTCTTATCTTGGGAAGCCTCTCCAAAAGCTTTCCTTGGAAAGGGGTTTTGACCTTATCCGCCCAGGAGACCACACGAGCGGACCGTCAGGAAAGGAAGACACCACACAGGCAGCAGCCCCGACTGCATGAAGACGGAGGCGACGTCGAAGGTGCTGATGCCGATTTGTGCGCTCGGGGGCCCAGGGTTTTGCAGTGTTTCTTCTCTTTCGGGACTGATTCATTGTTCTTTGTCCGCTCCCGTTCGAGCATGCACGGCTGCTGACACTGAATGTTATCCTGTACTTCAGCTGGTGCTTGTCAGCAATGTGAAGCCCTGGCGAGTGGGTATCAGCAACTACCTAGACATGATGATGCACGCTGGGGCACTGACCATTCTTGATATTGGTGCTTTGTTTGTGCCTTCAGAGGATTGCCAACAAGGCTTCATGTTTGCCTGTGTGTTGGATTGCCATGCTGGTGGCTACAGCCTTGATGCTCGCAAGCCTGTATGGAGTCGTCAGGCACCTAATATCCAGGCATCACAAGCGTTTTCCTTTTCTTGTGCCATCACCGCAGGTTTGTTGAATCCACTGCCACTGCATCATCGTCCGACCGGGGGTGCTGGAGGCCTTAGCGCTGAGCCGAGTCCAGGCCTTCGAGCCAAGCACTGTGTGTGTTTCAGTCTTGGAGCCCAAAGCGGTGTAATTCATACTAGACCATACGGATGAGACGGAGCGCAAAAGAGTGTCATATTTGAGTCTGCAGGTCAGGTCCTTCAGTGATTGTGGCGCATTGATCACCAGGTCATGTGACACATGGAACTGAACACATGATTGCAAGGTGGCATTGTTATCCTGATCAGCAGTTTTGCCTGAGCCTCAGTTCACTCCTGCAGTTACTGTATGCAAAGCTTGAGAGTTCTGTAGTCATTCATGTTGTGAGCAAGTCTGAGATTGCCTGCAGCAAGGGCTGGGCTCGGGAAAACCCAGTTCGTCACACACTCTGGCCATGGAGTATCAGGAGAGGGGCAGTTTGCCGAAGGCTGTCTCAGCACCTGCTTAGCCAAGCGTACATGGCCACCCCATGTATGGCTTTGCCCCGCCAGGGATGATGCTGCTGCCTGGGCCGCTCCAGCAATCATTGGTTAACGAGACTGACAATCAGGACTTTGAAGGCAACCAGTGTGGTGCTAGCGCGGCCGGTGAAAGTGATGATGGCCGCAGTGAAAGGGGATTCGGCCGCAGGGTCCGCCAGAGCCGCAGGTCCAGGTCCAGGTCTCGGCGGCGCCGCAGCAGCAGGAGTGACAGCCTCAGACCGCAACACTCGCGACAAGCGCCGTCACAAGAGGTCACGCAAGGACCGTGATCGCAGACGGAGGTCGGTGTGCGAATCGCAATCAGAAAACGAACTGCAACCTGAGATCCTAGCTTTGTTTGACAACAACAATCCGTATGCAAATGCAGACTCCATCTCTCGGAGCACATCAGTACTGAAGAAGGTTCCCAAGGCTGGTGTTGTGCAAACTGCTAGACCAAAACGGGCTTATGTTTGTGGCCTGCTGTCTGAACTTCCACAGTGTGCTTGTGACAGCAATCAATCCTGCTTGGAATGCGCCTGATGCTGATCTTCCTCACGACCCAACAGAAGCCAACGACATGCATAAGCCAGCTGCGCTGTGGTAGTTACTTGCAGCTGGCAAAGGTGCTTCGGCAGACTTTCAACAAACTCAAACGGTCCTCGAATTCCTCATGGCCCCAAATCGAGACAATGCTGGGGGTCACAGTGGTGCTAAGCAATCTGCTGAGATCCATGAGTGGCGCCATGAATTCCCATGTAGTGCCAAAGGCACCAGTGTGGCAACGAGCGCAAGACCGCTGCAGCTGATGAGCCCCAGGACCTGGACAAGTGCTGAAGGCAGCGCCACCGGCAGCTACAGATGCTGCAGATGCTGCCTCAGATGTGGCTGCAGGGCCTGTGGCAGTTCCCCCAGATGCAGCTGCTGAGCTACCTGATGTGCCTGGCGAAGCAGAAAGAAGGAGTTCCCTGTTCGGGGCAAGGCCGAGGTGCCACAGTGGCAAGACGATGAAGCAGCTGCAAAGTGCCAGTTTTGCTTTGAGCGCCTAGATGGAGCTGAGCCTTGGCTAATTTGGGTCAAGTTGTGTGTGGGAAGGTTTGTGTGTTGTATTTAAAGGTCAGCGAGGTTTGCACACTGTGTTGCTTCGGAATCAGTCGCCGCGGCGGGAGGCAGAAGGACTCGCTTGCTCACACACCTTCCACACGGAATGCATTCACCGATACATGGCCCACGCGGGAATTCCAAAGAGTCAAGCCTGTCCTTTCCGGTGTGCGCGAAGCCATGGAGCACTGGCAGAAGGCGATGTGATTGATGATGCGTGGCAGGTATTGTGAGTCAGCCAGTGTGGCATAGTGGTCTGCAGTGCCAGATCACCATTTTTGTGATGAGTGCTGACATGTGCGGGATGTCAAAAATGGTGGAGTGCCAAAGCTAAGCTGTAACACTATGGGCTGGCCTGCATGCAGTGCAACTTAGGCAGGAGGTGACGGGGCCTTCAACACATCTGTTTGGTTCTGCCATGGCAATGAAGTAGCTTGTAATTTTGATGTCTCGATTGTTTGTTACTGAGTAAGCCACAAATGCTCTTCGACACAGTTGTCCACCTTATTGGTTTTTAGCTATCTCAATGTGCTTCAAATTATTCAAGCATGCTCTCAACTTATGTCCAAAATCTCGAACTCTCACCCCAAACCCTATCTCAAATTATCTCAAATTATCTCAAATTATTTCAAATTATCTCAAACTCCCACCCCAAACCCTATCTCAAATTATCTCAA